AGCACAATAGGTAGTCTAAGGACTAATATGCATATATATATATATATATTGTAATTAATAATATATATTCCCCAAATGAATACTGTTTTTCAAAGTTTATTACGAATATCGCATCTTATCACCAACAACATTATAAATATATATTTACATTAATCTTGTTTATACATAAATTTCCGATCGCACTAAGTACTTCACGTTCCATTCATTTTAGCGCGTACGAAATAGTTAAACCATGCAGTTAATTACGGAAATAAAAAGATATATTTCGAAACTATAAGACATACTAGATATCATTAGAATTTTTATTATTCAAGGATATGGTCAACATAAAAAAAGATGTTTAAAATTTTAGATAGGTATAAAGAAATCAATTTATTTCATACCTTCCAAGTTTCGTAGATGCGAATCGAAAAAATCCTTCCTATGAGAAATTGGCATATGTTTCAGTCTCAAAAAATTCTCTTCATTTCCGTGAATGGTATATATACTTTTCCCATCTGTTCCAAGGAGAGTCCTCAAAGCTCTGTTTCTACTTAACGTTTTTTCGTAAAATTCCTGTCCTCCCTTGATATATTTGGTTCCTAAACAGCACAAAGCTTCATCGTTCTTTTTGTCAAGCTGATAACTTCGATAATCCTTTACACCGAACCAAAATATTGCACCAAATAAGATGAAAGTCGCGTAAAGCGTACGTCGTGCTATCGCATTGCCTTCGCGTAGTTTATATCTGTACGATATAATGTTGTAAAGGGTCCATAAAGTCCCTATAGTTAAAGCCAGCAAGAGTGAATTAAAGCATGGCTCCTCTGCCTGAATTCGCAGGATTTCGCGCGCTATTGCAAATTTTTGTGCATCCTCTGAGAACGTTACTGCTTTCAGAAAAGCCTTCGCGTCTTGTCGCGTCCAGTCTACTGGCTCCTCCTTAATCTGTAGGCTCTTGTGAAGCTGCTCTACAGTATTGGTGAAATTAATGGGAATTCCCAGTATTGCACCATATTTAGTACTGAAAGTACCAGCATGAAGCAAATCGAAACCAAATACGCTGACGGGTTTTATAGCATTCTTAACGTCATCGGATAGTTTCAAGTCGCTCATTACCTTCTCAATTATCTGCTGCACTTTAGAGCTTAACGGCACCTCTTTTCCTAGTCTATATTAGTTTATAAAAAAAAGGGATATTAAGTCACTTGGAATAAAGAATGGGAATCTTAAAATCTTGCATTACTCACTGGTATGTGGCCACCATATATTTGTACTTTTTCAGGAAGATAGTGTGTGGCATAAGAACTGCATAATATCCAAATGCAGTCGCAGTCACACCCAGAATCACGTTCCTATACTTGAATGAAAATTTATTCATGCTTACACTGCAATTCTGAAAATAAAGATATGTACTTTCAATATTTATTCGCATCTCTCTGTTGGCGACGTTGATCGATTTTGATTAACTTAATTTGCAATTAATATAACTTGCAAAGTTATTTCCAGTAAAACTTCAGATTGTTAAAATATGCTTTTGATTTAATTTTTCGATGTCACATGCAACGAAAAGAATTTATAATTTTATTCACGTTGATGAAATTATTTGACAAGTTAATCAAATTTGATCGAAGTCACTATAATGTATAAAAGAATTCCAAAAATTCTGTTTTACTTCTCAGTTTACTTTCTCTAATCGCGAACCATAACCTAATCTAACATAATTACCCGATTATAACCTACTAAACTTAAACTAGGCAACGTTGCTCGCATGTGTTAGTAAATATGGCAAAGATAGAAGAGAAGTCGATTAATTTCTTCGAGCAGTTAGAACGTGTATTTCCAATAATTAAGGGAAAGGTACGTACAATATATATTGTATACTGAAATCACAAATTTGTTTTTTTGACAATGGAATATCTTTTATGATATCAACGTTAATACTACTGTATGAAATCGTAACCTCAATATAAATACGGTGTTCATGTCAGAACTGTAAATAAAATCTGAATTTTTAAATATTTGACTAATAGATGTACAAATATTTAATATTATTTTAATAAATATTGATAAATTGCAATTAATTCTATTTTCGTAGTTCTGTAAGACTTTAAGATTTTGATTATCTGAATAATTAAACACTTTATTATTAGACTTGAGATGACAATTATTTCGGATAATTTGGATATCATATTTAAAAATTTAGCTCTGTTTAAAGACTGTTCAGATTTATATTTGTTATTTTTTAAATTATGTGTTATTTTTAGATTAAAAGGGTTACAATAATTTAAAAAAAAAACAGTTTATGTGATATGATTCTCATTATCACAGAGACATATAAAAGATGCTCGATAATCTATTTTTTTTTTCTTAGATTCAAGAGGAATGCACAGAGGAGGAATTTGCGAATTTAGTGGAAATTATACAATTCGTCAAGACAACAGAATATATCATAGAGGTTGTGATTCATAACATAGAACAATACATCCGTTGTCACGTGGCGCCGACATTCTGGAAGAAATTTGAGTATACAGAGGATAGCCAACGGGGTTTTGAATTGTTCAAATCTGCTGTTGATGATCTGTACACCAGTCTCACAGAGTTTCTGCCGATTCTAAAAAAGCTAGAATTCTTAAGACAGAACAAAGGCGAAACATCAAACATTGACAACAGTATAGATATAGAGGCACAATTCAAGCTCATTGTGAGAGCGACGTTATTGAGCCAATTACCTCTGTGTCATGAATGTATCATAGAACATTTTTACAAAATCGCATTCAATGTATTTTGTAATTCAGATAACTCGTCACAAGGTAAATTATACAAGTTTTCAATTCATCTTTATTATTTGTATTATATCTGTGATTTGCGCTTGAGAAATGTGGGAAATACAATAGAAATATACTCTTTAAAATAGATATATCAATCAGCGAGATCCAGTGTATAGGATGTAGCCAGGAAATGGAGAATTGTCGATGTCAGATGATAGTTTATATGTTTCACGAAACAAATAGAAAATTAATCGAGTTGGAATTATTGGAGAGACTTGTGGGAAATGTACTCACATCGCTAATCCATATTCGTATTAAAAATCATGTAATTCAAACGTGTGATAAGACATTTGATGTGTCGCAATTGATCTCTTTAGAAAATGTATGTCTCTCTCATTATATAATCTTACACAATTGTATAATAATGACAATGAGTTATTACATTTTATGTTTTAGTGGCTCGAAACTGTCGTGATGAATTGGTTAATAAGAGTTTATTCCGGTGGTTTCTCGAAAACGGTAGCACTTAGCGATGAAGTTCGTAACGCCATAAACAAGTTCAAACAGAAACTATCTCATTTTCTGTACGAAACATACACTAATATAAGAATCGATCATCTATTTAATATAATAATAGGTACAATTTTAATTAATATATCTATAATCTAAAGTAATTTATTTATTTATAAAGATTTATTATTTATTTGCAATTTATACAATTATGTGCTATATTTTTCTCTAGAATATCCCGAGTCGCAGCCTGCGGTGGATGATCTCCGAGTTTGTTTAGAAAGAACTGATAAACGGAAGGTTCTGGTTAAGAATTTGCAAGAAGCGATTAAAACGCGGCTCCTGCATGCTGGTGTAAATACTCCAGATATAGTAACCGCTTATATTGCTGCGATCAAAGCGCTCAAGCATCTTGATCCAACTGGCGTTCTTCTAGAAGCTGTAACGGAACCTATTAAGTGAAATCCCTTGTTTTGTCGCATCAAAGTTGCAATTCATAATGTGAATTTAATATAAAATGTTAAGAAATAGTTGTTTATCAAGTCCAATTTATCTTTTAGGTGCTATTTGAGGAGTAGAGAAGACACCGTACGTTCCGTCGTTAATAGCTTGCTTGATGATTCACCCAGTGAATTAGCCGACGAATTGGTGAAAGGCGAGTGCTTGCAGCTGGACGATGGTTCGGCGGATGATGAGACTGAAGATTGGGAAAAATGGATGCCGGATCCAGTCGATGCTGATCCCGGTAAACTGCGAAATTTCCTTATAATTGACTTTAGCGAAAAAATTCGTGCTGCTCTATAAATCATATTATCATTTATTATTATATTCTATTTTCGAGGGATTGGATTTAAAATATATATTCTTCCAAATTGAAATTGAATTGAAAAAAGAATTGAAATTGAATCATAAAAAGTTTCAAAATTTATATACTCATCGAAATAAGATATTTTTATAATGAACTTTTCTCTCAATAAAAATTTATTTTTCTAGCTAAATCGACACAGCGTAAAGTATCCGATATCATCTCTACGCTGGTGAATGTTTACGGCAGCCAGGACTTATTCGTCAACGAGTATCGCACATTGCTAGCGGATAGACTGCTTTCACAACTCAACTATCATACCGAACGCGAGATACGTCACTTAGAGTTGTTGAAGAGACGATTCGGAGAGAATCAATTGCATTACTGCGAAGTTATGCTGAAAGATGTTTATGATTCGAAAAGAATAGATGGTAACATCCATTCCGATACCAGTTACAATTTGCAGAGGGAACTCTTTCCCACTTCCGCGCTCATACTATCAGCGCAATTCTGGCCGCCGTTCAAGGAAGACTGGAAATTGAAATTACCAAGCATCGTGCAGAATCAACTGAATAAATATGTGAAGGCGTTTGAGGCCTTGAAGGGAAACAGGACGCTCTGTTGGAAGCCTCACTTAGGAAACGTGAGTCTGGAAATTGAATTGAAGGATAGAAAGCTAGATATAAACGTCACACCGGTGCACGCAACAATTATCTTGCACTTCCAAGATAAAAGTAAGTAATAACACGTTGATTATTTGTCGAATCGAAACGCAAATACATGATGAAATAGTTGTTCTTAAATTAAGTTTATTTTGCAGATGAGTGGACTTTGCAAGAGCTGGCGGAGGTGATGCATGCACCGGCGACTGTTCTTCGACGTAAGATAGCATTTTGGGTATCACAAGGTCTTTTGAAGGAGACTTCTAGTGATGTGTTCGTTTTGCAAGAGGAAAGTACGTCGAAGAACCGTTTATCGACAGACATCGTTGAGGAGGAGGAGACTGAGAGTGCAATGGCTTCAGCCAGCGATCAGAGAGAGGAGGAATTGCAAGTGTTCTGGTCGTACATCGTTGGAATGTTGACGAATCTAGAATCATTGCCAATAGAAAGGATTCATCAGATGTTGAAAATGTTCGCGTCGCAAGGACCGGGTGCTGTCGAATGCGGCTTACCAGAATTGAGGCAGTTTCTGGACAGAAAAGTTAGGGAACACCAACTGTTACTTTCCGGTAGTTTCTATCGATTACCAAAGTCATAAAATGATAAAAAGATTTTCTATTCCATACTGCTTGTACTAATTCTAATAATAAGAAAATAATTTATCTTATGTCAAATATTTTTGTACATAGAAGGATTTCTTTTAATAGAGAAATAAAGCTAATGTAAACATTTCGATATGTTTTGTATGAGATTATGAAATGTCCATTTACTTTTTGATAACTTATGCATGTATATCAATAAAATGGAAATCTTATTTATATTTATCATTTCTTTCAAGTGTCAAGGAAGTGTCGAGTATTGAAAAAATATTTTTATTACCGTTCATCATAGTATTTATACATATTTGTATAAACTATTTTATTTGCACTTTCAATGTAAATTGTGAATTTTCTTCGATAAGTAGCGTACAGTATACTATGATTCGTAATCAGATCTTTCCGAGATTTCAGAAAACAGAATTGCTTTTCATTGTCACTTACACATTAATATTGCCACATATCCTGCACATATATCAACATTAAAATAAAATATGAAACTAAAAAATTATCATATACAATAAATTTCGGCAAAAAAACTATATAACTATAGAATAATAAATGTAAATTCGCATGCCGTAAGATCTAACAAGATTTTTTTGCTTGCACATATATATAATTTCTTATATAACTTATCTGAATACATTTATAAATACGATAACAGGGTGTAAACAAATCACGCCTGTGTTTACTTCTGCGGTAATAATAATAATAATAATAATAATAATAATAATAATAATAATAATCTCGAAAAATTATAAAAAAATAATAATGAAAATCGAATATTTATGCGCCATATAGCTTATATAATATAATTGATAAAGCAGTGCAAGCTGCAATAATATTATACAAAAACTATATATAATAAATTATGATAGAACGCAAATATTAAAAATGGATTTTCTTTCCAAAATCATAACAGATAATGTATCGCCGTTTGACGCAGAAGTAAATCACAGTGGTATTTATTCATACCGTCCGGATGTTCAACTGAGTCAGTGCATATGTATAATACATTATGTGTATACATGTGTAATAATTTACGTTCTCAGGCGCATATATATATTAAACAGAATATACATAAAGAGTGTACATATCTGTTCTCTATATAATCACGCTCGCGAATGCACATATATATAATTCGTATATTATAATCGCACTTAATAAAGAACAATGATATTCAAAATATTTCGTTAAATCAATTATTTACGTACAATAATAAAATATATATCGAATATATTTGTTTTTTTTTACGTTTGAGAACTTAAGTAGATTTCAGATCACTCTTAAACATGTGCGTGTATATCTTTCAACGCTTATATATACATGAAGGACCGAGCTATCGGTATATCTAAGAGGGACTCCTTGGACAAAAATTCAAAAATATCTGTCGAAACAACGAGTATAACATTTGACACATGAATGACTATACAGAAGTTATATAATGCGTGCAACTTGATATTCTTAATCGTTACATGTACAATATGGCAGACCTAAAAAGTGATGCAACTCTCTAATATAAAGTCGACATTAAGTAAGTCACTCTCTCACGCAAACACTCTTTGCTTGTATGTAGACAGAGATTACATACATTTCTTTTGTTTATATTCATATACATGTTTAATATCTTGCAAATAATTCCGCGATGTCAGAAAGTCATAAGATCTCGCGATACTTCTGTTATTCTTTTTTTTTGCCTGATAATATCGATTTTATCGATATTTATATAAATACATATACGTATCTGTTCGATAATCCTGCGGTTAAATTATAAGGTTTTTTCGCAAAGTTTTTCGCAAAATATGCAATTTATTTCACGAATCTTGGACGCATTTATCTCAACGCATTTTGGATGACCTGCCACTTTTCTTTCATCATCAACGTATTACACATTGACGTACTAGAATATTTCTCTGCGAACAGCACTTCTCTTAATACTTTCAGTTGAAACAATATGTACATGTAGCTCTCTCGTGCATCCGCATACAACGCATACTTTTAAAGCCTTATCTTCGGGATATTCATGATTCTAGCTATGGATGTTCCTAACAGTTCTTCTCGCAACTTAATGAAAAAGACTATTAGGAGAACGATCTAATCGGCATTGTCCTTTTCTTTCTAGGGATATACATATCGCGTGAAAGTTAAATTTTGATTGCACAGTTCTAATGCTACTACATAGAGTCTATCGATAACAAAGCTTTATCTAGAACGGTAACGCGGCTACACCGCACTACGTTAACATTACATAAGGCACATTTATGCGAGAGAGTTGTACAGAATTTCGACAATTTCTCCGACGTGAGAGACGTGTCGCACGAGAAAAAAGAAGAAGACACATTGGCATCAATTGTGATTTTCTTTGAAGAACTTCGCGAGTTCTCGCATATATTCTCGTTTGTGTTTTTTTTTCGCGCGACACTTCAGCAGTTAGTTCTTAAAAATGCGCGTAAATATATGATTGCGTTTAAGTTATATTAACGTTGTCACATTCTTTTGCGCTGCCATCTCCAGAGACGGGGAGATGCCAGCTTAGTCATAAGTACTGGGAAAAACGCGAACAACATTTCATCGCTGCCACGAGAAGAGAGAGAAAATAAAATACTTCGGAGATACATCGCGCGCGTGCTACAATAAAATTCCCCTCCCCACGAGGGAGTAAAAATAACCGATAAACTAACGTTCATACTAAAAACTATTGCTATTACCGCTAACGTTGCACTGAATTCAGATTTCGCATACCTGACTCGCGTCCAAAACAAGTTTGGAATAGTCCTGCGTTTTCTTTTCGCAAAAAAGGCGTGCGGGTATTCTACATAAAATATATAATATATATTTATGCATAAATATATAATATATAAAATGTATATAGGGTCCCAAATCTCTGTATATTATGCTAATGCACCTCGCAACGCTATCGTTTTGCGAAGTGAGACGAATTATATTTGTGCCATCAACGACACGAAGTGGCTCGGATTCCAATCGGCGACGACTCCATCGATCGCCGAGACGCGTGGGAGAAACTAACGTTTCCGAACATTAAGAGGATACAGGATGATGGATAAGCTTGACGAACGGGGCTGGTGACGCGGACGGACGGCGAAGGTGGTCGGCTGGTTGGTGAACCGATCGAACGCGGGATGCTGTTCCAGAGTCCAGGTGTTAGCACGGGGCGAGTGGATATCCATTGTTAGCACTCCAAGCCTACAGGCCACGGGCAACCGGGGTTAACAAGAAAGAAAAGAAAAACAGTTTGTTAGTAATCTGATTATGACTGACCGACGTTAACATTAAGTATCTAGTAGCTCGCCAGCTGAGAGAAATATAGTTAGTGGTGAAAAGCAACGCTTCCACGTTTCTCGTGCGCGCGTCGTACGTGATATATAATCTGGCAAATAATAGATCTGTTAAATCGATATCAAGTTAAAAAATTTCTTCCAATATTATTTCATGCGTTAGAGTTTCAATTCTTCGTTCACGAGCGAAAGAAGACTGTCTAATGATCGCGCGAGCACTCGATCCGAATCAGGAAGATTCGTCCGATGATGAAGCATTGCTTTGCACCGGCTACTTGTAATATTATTAGTGTGAAGCATTCGATTTGTACGCGTTATGACAAGATAATAATCCAACGGATCCACGCGGAAAAAAAAACGAACGTATCTAGTATCAAGCCAATATTAACTTCGTTATCTCGAATGTCCATGACAATTAGACCCGTTCGTTTCTGCTCGTGATACCCTCCCTGCGCGCAAAAAAAAAAACGTACAAATCGATGGATTACACATCGCTGAAATAACTCGCGTCAGGCTGGATGCACTAGTGAATGAGGGCACAATGCTCTGTCGGTTTCTAATTACATACTCCTCAGTGATCGCATTTATTGAAACCAGTCGTCCAACAAGCTTATTGTTTCACTTTTGTCGTTAATTTTATGCGATATACTTTTGATGTTAATGACAATCAAAAATTGCGATCTCGATTTAATAAAATAAACATATAAAAATTTCGTTGCAGTCGCAAAAAATTTAATTAATTAATCGACCGCTCACTGGTGCATCTACCCTGCAGCATTTGTAAAAGAACGTAGCTGCCTGTATATGTCAGAATATCAGCCAAACAAAAAAAGAAGAAACGATCAAGTGAAAAGAATCGATGATCGATCACTATCTGTTAATCGCTACCATTACACACGTACGTGGATTGCGTTATTTCCGAATATTATAGCGATTTTTCAGACAGGCAGCCTGGGTGTGCACCTGTCACCACATTAGCACCGATAAATGAGAAAGATTACATAACGAAATTCCGATTACATAGTTACGATGGTATTATTTTATAGATCATTATTGATCTTTAGTGATTAATGTCCCATCAGCAAGCAGGTGTCAAAGGCTCATGAGTGTTGCATGTGCCATACAGGACAGATATTTGTAGTACAATTCCAGGCATTCCTTTTTTTTAAGAGAAGCATATTATTATTAATAGACGCTATTAAACAGATCTGTTTATACAGTAAATATAATAACGTGAGTTGTGTGGATCGAGTGATAACTGGAGATTCGACGAGAAACTCGCATGTCAATAGGAGAATGTGATAGTAGAGGCTATTTTCGATTTTAAAATGTTTAAAAAATTTGATAGACGAATGATAAATTGCAATTATAATGCATGTGTCTCAATAAATAATAATTTGATTGATCTGTTGATAATTCGTACGTATTAACGATAATAACTATCATTTAATTGATAATAATGAAATAAATA